CCCACTCCCCTCCTGTGAAGGGGAGTGAGATCGCCTGCCTCAGGAGCCGGGGGTGGTACCTTCAGGCCCAGGGATCCTCACACGAGAGGGGGAGTGGACAAGCCCTGCTCAGAGGGACAGTTGTCCCTTGATATCTACAGGGAATGGATTCTGAGACCCCCATGGAACCCACGTATATGAAAAGTGTTCCACATCTACAAATACTGTATTTTCAATCCACAGCTTGTTAAAAAAAATCCAGGCATGAGTGGACTGCACAGTTCAAACCTGAGCTGTGCAAGGACGAGATGTACTTTATCCCCAAATAAAGCCCAGGTTTTGTCATGTGGGACTGTGTCGTCAAGATATGGACTAAGAATATGTAGGGTTGACCTAAGCACAGGGGACGGATGTCCTCACGGGGGTGTGAGCCTGGGCAGGGAAGGCCTCACGACCTCATCCTGGACACAGTGCTCCCAGCGCCTCATGGCCACCTGCCCAACCCTTGGCCTGGCATCTGCTGCTGCTCTTTGGCCTCTGCCTGGAGCTCCCCTGGGACCTTTCAGGCAAGACTCTGACCCCTGCAGCCCCCACTCTCTGGTCCTGGCAGCACTGGCCCCGGGCCCCAGAAGCCCCTGAGGTGTATCCATAGCAAGTACCCTGTCTCCCCCCATGTCTCCCCCACTCCTGGGTCCCCCAGCCCCTTACAGAGTTCAGCCTCTTGAGCTCCACGTCGTTCTGGTCCTGGAAGTGGATGCTGATAGCCACCGTCTCTATCCAGGCGTTGTCTGTGTTCCTGGGGTCATCCATGTACCCTTTGTACACCTGCGAGGGCCAGCACAGCAGATGGACTCCTGAGTCCCATCCAGCCCACCCCTGAGGGGCTTCCCTCCCAAGGGAGGGGCCTCCCAGGACAGGCTCTGAGCACAGCCATCCATGGCACCCTGTTCCCCAGCCTCCAGCCTGGTGCTCTCCTTGCCCCGTCCAGCCACTCAGGGCTGCCTGACATGGGCTTTAGCTTGGACCGATGAGTTTCAAGGGCCATGGCCTCTCTCATCCCACTCCCAGCCTTTGGCCAGCCTAGAGGCCCTTGGACATCAGACTTGACTGTCCTTGGCCTCCCAAGATCCTGAAAGGATCAAGAGGAGAGAGAGCCTTGAAAACATTCTGCTCAGAAGCCAAAGGCCACATGCTGCAGGATTCCACTTATATAAACATCTGGGCCAGGTAAGTCCACAGAGACAGAAAGCAGATGGAGGGGGCCAGGGCTGGGGAGGGGCTACGCTGACTGCTCATGGGTGTGGGTTTTTTGTGGGGAGATACAAATGTTTCGGACCTGGATGTAGGTGGTGGCCGCACAACACTGCAAATGCACTAAATGCCACAGAAGTATTCACTTTAAAGTGGTTGACTTTATGTTAGGTGAATTTCACCTCAGTAAAAGTAGATTTATTTTAAATGGCAAGAAAAGAGAGATGGTGGTGTCCTCTGGGGTGCTGTGCAGCTTAAGCCACACGAAACGCTGGGCTGGTGGGTCACAAATGCCCAACACGCAGTCGCACCAGTCTCCACCTGCGATGTAACGGTGATGGGTCTGCACTGACCTCCTGCCATCCAGAGGCCCGCCTACATGAAGTGTGCGATGTGCGGTCTACAAGACACTAGGGAATCCTGAACAAGAGTGAGGTGGATGTGAAAATCTTGATCTAAAACTAAGATCATTGAAGATGAAGAGGAAAAGCAAATTATGGGAAAACGTGCCCTGAGTAGCCCGTTTTTACTGAAAGAGTGAACGTTTGCACGGAGAGAGAGTGGGGACTGAGCCTTTCTGAAGAAAGACCGGGGTTTCTAAAGAAGCAAACAAAGCAGCCTGGCATGGTCAGCCGGGCAGGGCATCTGTGCGGCGTGGGGGGCTTCTGCTTTCCTCCGCGCACCGGTATGTCAGATGTGCACTGCTTTTGTAACTAGGTAAAGATTCAATAAAGAAAATGAGCCAGCAAATGCTCCTGGCCGGCCTGAGGCCCCCCAGAGTGCCCTGAGCTCAGCAGGGTGGGTGTCCCAGCGCCCTCAGGCCAGCGCCAGCGTGCTCAGGGCAGGTGGAGCCAGACCTCTGAGCAGCCTGTCCCCCCTGGAAGGTGGCAGGGGTCCTTGGCCCAACCCCCTTGACTTGGCGAGAAGAAAACGGTACAGAGAGGGCAAGTGAGGTGCTCAAGGTGCCCAGACCCTCAGCCACACTCCCTGGTCCCAGTTCCTTCTTGTTCATCCAGGAGCTGCAGGGTGTGGGGATGGGAGCTGAGACTGCTGTCACCTGGCCGGGCTGGAGCAAGACCCCAGCGTCACGTTGTGCTCATTCCTCACAAGCACATGGAGCCCAGAGCCCAGAGCACTGCGTGCAAGTGGGAGCAGAGCAGGAAGGCCCCTACCTCCATGCCCCGCTTCAGCAAGTTCTCAAAGGATGGCCAGGACTCCTGCCGAAGGATCTGCTTCAGCTTCCGGGGCAGCGTCTCCCCCGGCTCCCGGGAGCCCTGGGCAGAGAGGGGGAAGGGGCAGGTCAGCAAGGCATCCACACCAGGTCTCAGGCCGCTCTAGCCCATCTCCACTGGCCTGGCCACCTGCCCCCTGTGGGCAGCCCACCAGCCCCCCAGGAGCCGAAGGCCAGCCAGCCTCTGGCAGCCTGGAGCTGCTGTCCCAGGGCTGGAGTGACACTGCCCAGAACCCACTATCCACGTCCTCATTTGACAGCCTCATGCAGCCTAAGTGGGGGTGTGAGGTCAAAGGCACAGCCTTTGAGGAGCAGGGATAGCCCCCCACAATCCCTGCACCAGCCTCCCTGGGCTCCCTGTGAAGTGGCCCAGACGTCCCTGCAGACCAGTGGCAGTTGGGCTGCGTTCTCCGTTTGGTGGCATTTCCCAGTCCCACCTCCCACCTGCACTGCAGCACGCAGGGCTCTCAGCCACTCCTGAGTGCCACCTGCCTCCTGGATGTGGACCTGCCCTGGCACCTCCCCTCTCCCCACCGTCTTGGACTCTATTTGTTATGCAAAGTCCCCTGAAAGACATGTATCTCATGAAGCCTTTGTAGGCCTGGCATGTCCGTCCCACCTCAGCCCCAGAGACACCCCTGCCCTCGCTAGCACACACGCCCTGTAGAGGCAGGAGCCTGGGGGCTCCTCATGATGCCCCCTTGGTGACCAGCTGGAGTTGACTGGGCTGCAGGTCAGCAGGACCATGTCAGACCCAACCACACACACCCTGCCTGGAGACCAAAGTGCCAGAGGGCGGAGGATGAATCATGCTCCAAGAGAGTCCCTGGGCAAGCACAGCTAAGCTGCGAGAAGACTCCGAGCCACTGACTGGGCTGCAGGTCAGCAGGACCACGTCAGACCCAACCACACACACCCTGCCTGGAGACCAAAGTGCCAGAGGGCGGAGGACGAATCATGCTCCAAGAGAGTCCCTGGGCAAGCACAGCTAAGCTGCGAGAAGACTCCGAGCCAATGACTGCCTCGCTGCAGGCAGGGGCCACGGCTGTAGGGCCCAGAGCCACCCACAGTGCTTGACGCAGCAGCTGGGCCTCAGCCTAGAAGCCACGTTCACCCTGAAGACCGGCGGCAGTGGCCCCGCTGCCCTGAGCACAATGTGGCAACACGTCACTCCCAGCAAAGGCACCCTCTGGGCCATGGTTGGGGTCAGAGAAATACGACAGCTTCCTACTGAGGGATGGTGAATCTCAGACTCTACATCCCAGACGCTGTGCACCATGGCTGGGGCCCTGCGGGACTCTCCTCCCGGCAGGATGAGCCTCTTCTGACCCTGCAGTTAGGGGGGCCTGGTGGGGGTGCAGAGGGGGGCCTGATCTAGGGGCAACATGAGCATTCAGAACCACTTGGACAGGAGAGGCTGGGCCTTCTGCACCCTGATCCTGCCTGTCTGTCCCCACAGCCTCAGGGACACACCCTGCCCTTCAGCCCCATGACCAGCTGCTGCCCCTGAGTTGAGGGGCCTGTGCCCCTGCCCCTGTCCCTGGACAACGCCATCCTGTCTTCAGGGCTTGGCTCAGGTGCTAGATGGTGAGGGGCATATCTGAGACACCTGTGAGGAGCCATCTCAGCCCCCTGATGCCCCAAGCACAGCAGGGGGACTCTGTTCAGCCTCCAAGGTAGCCCCAGCCCTGAGCCTGGGACACAGGAGGTGCTCAATTAGTGTCTATGCACCAAAGAGAATCCGAGCCTCAGTTTTCATAGTCGCAAAATGAGGACACAGGAGGGGGGAGAATGTCTTCTAAAAAGCGAAGTGCCCGAACCACTGCTATTCAGAACCAGGGGTGGGCTCTGGAGCTGTCCCTGCCCAGTGACCACAGGTGGCTGGTGCTCAGACAGGGGCCAAAGGACAGATGATGAAATGACCAAGCGGACAGACTGGCTGACAGCTACCATCACCGCTGGCTGCAGTGGCTTACCCCTGGCAGGGCCCAGTGTTCTGAGAGAGGGTGTTCCACCACCAACACCTCCAGCATTTTCTTTATGCTTTTCCTACAGATGGCTCCGTCCTGATTCCGTCTCCACCTGAAAAAGGGAACTGCTCACACCTCCAGGATGCCATGAGGCCCCTTGCCCCATGCCCCTGTGCCTGTGCTGAAGCCAGGGTAGGCAGTGTCAGGCCTCTGCCGGCTTAACCCCAGCTTTTTAAGGACCTAAACCCCAGTGAAAGAACTGAGACAGTCACCTCTGAGGAAATGTTCTTCCCCACCTGCATACTAGAAAGGGCTCCAGCCTTTTTGGAGAGTTTTTTTTTAAATCAA